ACACACACACACACACATACATATTCTGAAAACTATTGTCTCTTTGCCTGACAACTTATTCAGAGGAATTTGGCTGTGAGACCCTATTGATCTTATTTCACCACTACTATAAATAGGCAAAGTCCAATTTAAAAGCCTTTGCTTCTATATCCATAAATTGATGTGAATTTGGAGACTATAAAGTGTAGTGGAAATTATTGAGTTAACCTTTAACAGCTTACTGGTAGTATTTACCATCTGTTTATCTGATTAACAACATATTGTTTTTCACAGACTTAACTACAATTTATTGTAAAGACTGATGCATGAATTATAGAGGAGAAAATTTCTTCCAGTTTAAATTGTCTTTTCTTTTCATTGGAGCTTCTTACAGTGCTTCAAAAGCACAAGGCTTAACATCAGTCTAAATCTCATTTATTTTCATCCTTTCAGGGATGAATCTCGTATCATTTACCTGGAAATTTTGTTAATTAGCATCACTTTTATTCTCTGATACTGTTATTGTTACAGTTTCTCTTTTTTCCTGGATATTATTCTGTTCATATTTTATATATTATTCCAAAATATTACAGACATGTTTAGTCATTGTTCTTTTTGGTTATATTTATCTGAGCATTAACTCTGTTTTCTCCCTGACGATTTATTTTACACATAAAGACACAAGGTGCATTTCCATTTTTATACCTATTTCTGGTTATTTAATTTGGGAGAAATGAAAGTTAATTTCTAAACTTTTTTTGTGCATACTTAATTTCACTGATGATCAGTTTCACTGATATGAAACTGATCAGTGGTTTGTCTTAAAACATTATTTATTATCCAAGTCATATCTTTTATTTTTTACTATTTTTAAGTTGTTAATGGACCTTTTGTTTATTTATATGTGGTGCTGAGAATCGAACCCAGCACCTCACATATGCTAGGCAAGCATTCTATCACTGAGCCACCACCCCAGCCCCAAAGTTTTTTTAAAGTAAAGATTCCTCCAAATGGTTAAATATATGGAAACATCAGTCTGTATAATTTAATTTCTGATTATTTGACTTGTGCTACATTTCCACTATAGTGTAAACTTGGTGGAAAAGTTTTCCACAGGGAGCAAGATATGGTAGAGATGCAGATCTACCTACCTTACAGTATGGTTTAGCTTCATTCTTCGTGAGCTTTTCCATTGTACTCTTGACACAATTTTATTTGGTGACTTGATTCCTTCTCTTACTCCAAAATAAACTTTATATGTATTGGAGACCATGTAATAGTGGGTGTAACTAGAAAAAAAAAATGACAGTGTTTTTGAGGTACCAGATGATTTGTGATGAGATGGAAAAAAATTGTCTAAGGCAATACAGTGTAGTCTTTGGTCCAAGAATTGTTATTAAAACTTTTTATTGTTTTTTTTTTTTCTTCTCCAGAAGAGAAGCCAAAACCAGATCCAGTGTTAAAGTCTCCTTCCCCAGTCCTTAGGCTAGTCCTTAGTGGGGAGAAGAAAGAACATGCAGGCCAGACAGCTGAGGCTACCACCATAGAATCCATACCAGAGCATCCTCTGCCTCCATCACCTACCACCGTTTCKTCAGTTGCTCAAAGTACAGTTGCTTCCCCCACTTCCGCTGCTCTTGGTAGCCAACCAATATTCACCACTTCTTTAGATGACAGATGTGAACTCTCTTCCTCAAAAGAAGATACAGTTCCCACACCCAGCCCTATATCCTGCACAGAAACATCAGACCCTTCACCAACAGATGAAATTGACAGTAATATATGCAAGAAACCCTGTAGTGTAGCATCTAATGATATGCCACTGATTTCTAGTGCTAACCTAATTAATGAGATGAATGGAATTAGTGAAAAATTACCAGCCACAGAAAGCATTGTGGAAATAGTAAAACAGGAAGTATTGCCATTGACTCTTGAATTGGAGATTCTGGAAAATCCCCCAGAAGAAATGAAAGTGGAGTGTATTTCAGCTCCCATCACCCCTTCCACAGTTCCTTCCTTTTCTCCAGCTCCTCCAACTCCTCCAGCTTCTCCCCCTCCACTTCCAGTCATTGTTCCTGCTGCTGCCTCTACTGTGACTACTCAAAGTGCTCCCACTGCAGTACAGAAAGTCTTCGAAGAGGAAGAAAGTGTAAGAACTTGTCCTAGTGAAGATTCAAAAGAAATTCAAAACAAAGTAGAGGTAGAAGCAGATGGGCAAACAGAAGAGAATACAGATTCTCAGAACTTAAATTCAAGAAAGAGTCCTACCCCAGGTAAGCTGTTCTACCATTAACAATCTTATGCTTGCTGAACATGAAGAAGAGGCAGTGTTTGAGTTATTTTTTAATTGGCTGCTTTCCTTGACTTCCAGAAACATCGAATGAATGCTGAAATTCCTAGTCTGGTTTCTTCAGTGGTGTGTTTGTGTTTTAGTACAGCCTGCAAAAGAGTTACTTCATTGTCTAAAAATGCAAATGAGAATTTCCAAATATACTAAATGCCTCCAAGGTATATGTCTCAGTACACATTGGGTCATTTTTTAAAAATTTTTCTATAGTTGATTAATATGAATTATTTCCTCAGTGGTTAATTTTTTTTTTTTTTGCTTAGGTGCTAAAAATCAATAAAACCAGCATTGGTAGTTCCTGATGCTTCTTACCAATAAACCCCTAAGTTAAAGGAAGTCTTCTGTGTATGACCTCTTTAAATCTTAGGTTTAGGAAACAACAATGACAACCTCAAAGCTTTACAGCTACATTTGGAAAATGAACGTGCGCTGAGTAAATTGCAGATAAATGTGGTGTTCTCCCACTTTTTCTTTTTTTGACTTTTTTTCTTTTTCTTTTTTCTTTTTTTTTTTTTTTTGGTAGTTGGACACAATTGACTTTATTTTATTTATTTATTTTTATGTGGTGCTGAGGATCGAACCCAGGGCCTTGCATGTGAGAGGCAAGCGTTCTACTGCTGAGCCATAACCCCAGCACCCCCTACTTTTTAAAGTTTTATTTATTTTTTTATAAATTTTTACGTAATTTACACATTCAAAGTTGTATATTCTTCCCAATTCCACTTTCCTTTTAATGTAGCATCACCTAGAATCTTAGGATTCTGGCCACTAGGTTTAAATTTTTTTCAATTTTTAAAAATTAAACTTTTGATTTATCTGATGCTTATTACCTGATAAGTCAACCCCCCCACCCCTAAGTATATTGGGGATTTGACTTTTAACAAGTCTGTACAGCCCATCTTTTTCAGCGTAGTCATGTGCTATATAATTTGCTCTGTGTATATGGCATTTACTTTGCTTAAGCAAAATGGGGCATGTTGACAAATGTTTTCATTTCCTTCGGTTGATCTTGGATATGCATTAGATTTGATCACRAATGTCCTCAGTATTTGTTTTTAACTGTGGAATTGGTAGGCAGACTTGACAAACCGAAAGTCTGATCCCTACTCTTAAGATGTGGTTCTCCTGCCCAGCTCAATTCTTTAGGTAGTTTCCTTATCATTGTCCGTGGAGGCGTTGGTCCCCTTGAACTATAGAATATCTAGTTAAGCATAGTGAACTAGATGTGAACCAAGGCCTTGCACCTAAATAGTCCTCCCGCACTTTTTCACTTTTTCACTTTCATTTTCCTTGAAGTAATTTATCAGGCAGGTGGCCTGATACTAGACAATGCCCAAGGATGATAAGAGTGGAGTACTCTCCTTCTGTCCTTGCTATTACACATTTGTTTGAAATGAAAATATCCTTGGAATTAGTAACTAAAGAATAAAAAGAGCTGTGTTTTGTATGACTAGCAATGAGGTAGAAATTGGTGGTGATAGGAGGTAAGTCTCTTGACATGGTAATTAGTAGTTCTGTAATTTCCCTTTTTGTTTAAATGWCTTTAGAACCAATTGTCAATTAGTATCAAAAACCCTTGCAACTATAGCTTCCCCCACCTTTTTCTCTTGGTATTAGAGATTGAACCTGGGGTGCTTTACCACTGACCTACATACTCAGCTCTTTTTATTTTGAGACAGGATCTGACTCCATTGCTTAAGGCCTTACTAAATTGCTGAGGCTTGCCTCAGCCTCCCAAATTGCTGGGATTACTGGTGTGCACCAATGTGCCTGGCTTGTTTGCACTTACGTAACTAGGTTTTTTTGGACATCAATAGTKTGTGTGTGTGTGTGTGTCTTGTTTGTTTTTCATTTGAGAAAGCTTCTTGCTTTGTTGCCCAGGGTGGGTCTGAAACTCCTGGACTAAAGTGATCATCCTGCCACAGCCTCCCAAATAGTTTAGGTCTATAGGTATGTGCCAGTGCACCAAGTCAGGATAAATTTTGGGTGCCAGCTTTTCAGACTAGTTTCTGCCTAAAAATGAATTGCTTCAAAGGTGGCTTCAGAAAGCACTTGCTTTTAATGGGTATTACACATAAATAACACTATACACAGTACAGAGATACTGTGTAGTATCTGCGTACTGTTAGATACTGTGTAGTATAGTATAGTATAATAGAATATTAGTGTAATAGTATATTATGTATACATACATAAAAGTGCTTGTATTATATATTTATGTATGCATATATAAATATATGTATATATTTATATATTTTATATATGTATACATTTTACTATACTACATAGTATCTCTATATTAACTACTGTGTATGTGTGTGATGTCAGACATGAGGTCTTTTCTCCTTTGCTGGATACATTTTCTTGCAGTTATTCCTGAGCAGATTAAAGTGCAGTGGGTTTGGATGCTTAGGGATTGAAGAAGAATGGCTCTTTATGAAATGAGAATTGTGTGTTTGTGTGTATGTGTTCACTATGCTTGTGACAAGCCTCAGAGATTGGACAAACTTTAGACATAAACTTATAATATTTGGTCATTTTAAGAATTTAGTGCAAAAATCTGTTGAGGGGTTTCTTGAAGTCTCGGGAATCTTTGTCATGATTTTTGTTCTTCATGGGGAAGAAAAGAAAGAGAGTGTTTTTATGGAAAAACAGTTTTAATTTATCTGGAAATTCATTTTGTAGAATTTCAGGCATTCTATCTGTTATAAAAATCAGTATTTGAAATTCTTTAGGCAAAGGGGGTTTTCCAATTTTTTAATTTATTTTGGTTTTTTCGATCTTGTTCATAGTGTATTCTTTCTTTGTATATAATTTATCTTATGAGCACAGGTAAATGTTCCTGAATAGAGATTAAGGACAAGTTCTTCCAAAGTAGTTTTGTATTTACTTTATCTGCTGTAAGTATTTAGGACACTATTAGTTGGAATTCAGTCTGGTTTATTATCCTAAACCTGCATTTATAATCCACATAGTGTGACACAGGTGCTGATGTTTCAGGGTTTCAACAGTCCTCTCCTCCTAGCTGAAACAGTCCTCTCTCCCCATATGGGTGTTGGAATGTCAATTCTTTGGCACAATGCCCCACACCCCTAGACATGTAGCCCAGCAGAGCAACTGACCTTCTCCACTTGATTGCCTTCCAAAARTTCACCTTATATTCTCACAAGCTCAGCTAAGAGTGGAGGAGGTTTTCCAGATTCTGTAGGTCACAGGACAAGAGATTTATTTCTCAAATGAAGATATGGTTGAATGTTTTAGGAAGATGTTAGTAAAGTACCAGTTCATATACCCAATCAAGTTGCTGTGCTCTCTTTTGAGTTCTTAAGTATAAATGGAGCATATTTTAATTCAGGTGAAAAAAATTAAGATTGCTTGCTTTATTCACAACTATGAGAGTATTGAAAATACTTTTAAAGAAAACAGCATAAAACTAGAGTAAAAGTGTTGCATTAGTGTGAAAAAAAATCTTATTTTAAAAATCTTGATCAACTGGATTAGGGAATTTTGAAATGTATTCTAACCTTTCCTCAATTTACACATTCTAAGCAGCATTTGAAATGTCTTTGGAAATTTTAGTTGCTGAGGCCAAAAGTAGACCACCAGTGATTTGAGTGTCTTCCAGTGATCTTAACACACTGTGCATCCTTATCCCTTGACTTCACGTTTCTCTACAGACATAWATCCTGGAACCTGAGTAACAGGACTTCTTACACATTGCTCCTTTCCTGTCACCTGCCAAAACCAGCAGAGCAATCCTTAAAGCAATGATTCTTAACTCCCTTTTACAGGGACTTGATTCTGAGTGATCCTTTGAGATAAGGTTTTCCCCACCTAATTTGAAAACTGTTTCCTTCAAAGATGCCTATAAAGTACATTTCCACCATACCATTCTTATTTTCTTTTTATTCTTCATAGCACAGTCATAGCTATTTCCTGGAAAACACTGTTGATGGGTCAGATTCTGTCCTTCAGGTAATGCAAAAGGAGCCCCTGTGCCCAGCATCTTGCACGGTTTCCCTTTGCCTCTTCATTTGAGATCTCTCTCTCCACTTTTTTTTTTTTGTAGTTTTAATTTTGTAGTTTTAAATGGACAGAATTCCTTTATTTTGTTAATTTTTATGTGGTGTTGAGAATCAAACCAAATACCTCATGCCTGCTAGGCAAGCCCTTCGCCACTGAGCCACGAACAGCCCAATAGTAGTTCAGGTACTTGCACTGGATATTAAGTAACATATATGTCCTAAAGTAGTTTGTTTAGAATTTAGCTCCCTTTCCCCCAGGCTCAGTATAACCCTCCTTCACTATGAGGGACCACTGTACTTGACCTGCTTGACTTGAACTACTCCTGGAAAACCTGTCCTTGTACACACAGCTTTGAGGATTGTTGCCACACCTTTAAAAAGCAATTCTCCCTGCTAATGCAGACAAATGCCCCAAGTGCATTTTCTGTAATATATATTTTTTTCTCCATGTTCTATTTTCATATTAAATACTTGGTAATTTAGTTGTAATCATGATGAAGTTATCCTATTAGTTGATATTTATAGAAACTTTCTCAGGCATCTCAAGCATTATTATTTTAATTGATCAGTTATTCCTAGAATATAATTGTTTTTTGTTATACTGATGATCAAAATAAGGCAAGGAATGTTAAATCACTTTCTCAGACTCACAGGAGAATCATAACCTTTTCTTTGTCTCATTCTTTTTTTTTCAGACACGGTTTCTCCATTGATTCAAAATTCTTTAAATTTTTTTTTTTTTAGTATTTATTTTTTTAGTTGTACGTACTATTTTTATTTTTGCTGCTGAGGATGCAACCCAGGGCCTTGCACTTGCTAGGTGAGCGCTCTACCGCTGAGCCACAACCCCAGCTCCCTTTAATTTTTTTAGGATTTGTCAACAATACATCTGTATATATGT